ACTGTGAAATATCAGAAACTTTGGTGATAGAAGATTTTTTTTTTTCATATTCGGCTCCCCAATGATATACATGATTGATAAGTTTTCTTATATTATTACAATGTGAGTAAATCAAAAGCTTGAATACATTGACATTAGGTGTGAAAACACTTGTGACTCTAACAACAAGTGAAACTAATCAAAAGATGAGATAATAAAGTCGGTTAGTTTTCATAATTATGTAAATTAGGAATTAAATGTCTTAATTAATCCAACAATCTAAAATTATACACATTTGATGAAAGATGGAGAACCCTACGAATGTATGGTTCAAGAAAAAACAATATAAATCATATATAATTTACAGAAGAATTAATCATAAATTTAAGTGGTAAATTGATATTGTAATGCAAAAACAAGTTGAATTGTAGTACCTCTAACGATCAATTGAATAATCAAAATACGGGATACCAAATCCGATTAGTTTTCACAATTATACAATTTAACACTCAAATCTTTTGATTAAACAAGTATAATTGACGGTCGAATTAATTATCAACTTAAGTGCTAAATTCACATAATGCAAAAACAAGTTGAACAATGATACCTCTAACAATTAATTGAATAAGCAAAAGACGGGATACCAAATTCGATTGGTTTTCACAATTATGCATTTTTGACACTCAAATCTTTTGATTAATCCAACAATCTAACATTATACATGCTTACCCCGTGTACGTCTTGAGAGCCTTAAGCCATCATCTTCACGGTAAATGCGAATCCCTGCAAAAATGATAAGAAAGTTGATTTAGTTGAGTGGACAATATAACATACTGAAGTTAAACTCGATATAATACTGATACGCTCAACTCTGTTTTGTCTATAAACACAATCGAATATTTACTGCACATCAAAACAAGAAACTTTGTACGAAGTATTTAGAAAGAGTAATTAACCATGTAGTTCCTTAGTTTAAGTATCATTAAACATCAAGTTTCTCAATGACGATATAGAAGCAACAAGAGAATACATATGATCTCTGTCTTCTTACGATTTCTTAAAGCTGAACATTCCGATCCTAAGTATAAATTTCAAAACGGTTGCGCTGCAATGACAAGAACCTGATTCGTAAAAAAAAAATAGAAACATCAAACCTTTAGTCGTCACGAGCAGATTCTGAATTTAACTCTCTTTTTTTTTAATCTAACTCTCTGCTTCTTGCTTACGAGTAGGAGAAGAAATTTGGATCAACATTTTCTATTTGAAGCTTTCAAATGTTGGATGCAAGATTCCATCATTATCAC